TGTGTGTGTGAGAGAGAGAGAGAGAGAGAGCCCCTTACAAAGAACTGGGCGGCTCTCGTGACCCAGAGGTTAAGGTGTTCGTCTCTCATTCATTAGGTCCCGGATTCGAATCCGGATAGCAACGGGAAAAGTTTCTTCTATAAAAATTTCTCCTTTCACATCTTTTCCTATTCTCGAACAATACTCTTTTTTCGTCTCCACTTTCTGCCCCCATCTCCTCACCTCCTTTGTCTCCTGCTCTGGGCCCCTGGGTCTTTCTGCAGCCTTTCTGCTGCTACGCCTTGGCTCCATCTTACTGGTATCTTTCAGCCACATCCCTGATCTTATGGTAGGAAATATCTACTCCTAGCCTTCTCGGACAAAGACAAAAAGTCTCGGAGGTCCCTTGTGCAAAGTGTGCATGTTAAAGATCCCTTTGTGGTCCAAAGTCGACCAGAATGGACTTCGGCCCCCATCGGGACAAAATTCAAATTTCCTACCAGCTGAAAATGTCCAATGTGTCCCGCGCGCTCATACGACCTTATGCAGTTGCGAGCGCCGTAAACCACTTACCAAAACAAAAAACAACACAAAAACTGGACAACTGAGCATTTATTTACATTCTTTCCTTTTTCATTTTTAAAAATACTATTCATTTGTAAAGACTCAAAGAGGGATCACCCTTTAAATTAGAATATTTAAAAAAAACCCCTCAAGCTTGACCTGTCGTTACCTTAGAATTACACAGTTCTTTCGGACACTTTTGGGTCGTTTTGAGTTACAAAGACTATGAGGTCAGAAACCAGATGCTCTATCAGCTCTTTTAAAATCGTAAGATTATTCAGAGTCGCTATCAGGATATTCATAGATTTGCATTTGAAAATGCTTTACATTTTTCATTGTGAAACTTAACACGTTTCACGTCAAATTTCTCGAAACTATGTACTGAGCAGATAGAACTTCGTAATAATCCCGGTGTAGCGATTCACATAAAGCCACCATCACATTATGCCATGACATCATGAAGCCCTCACACATTAAAAACACGAGCTATCATATTTCATTAGGAGTACATGGCATTATTTTTTATACCTCTGATAATGGCCTCGATAAAACATTCTTTGTGACATAAGAGCAAGTTGCGTGTTCAGTCAATGGCGCCTTGTAAATAAATATATCTCGGAATTTTAATTTCGAAAACGTTAACCGAAACATGATCTGCGACTAAAATTCTGTAGAGCGTGGATATTCGCTATCTAAATGCAAATTATTGTTATTATATTACTATTATCAATACCATTTTTTAAATTACAATCATCATCATTATAATTATCATTATTATTATTATTATTATTATTATTATTATTATTATTATTATTATTATTATTATTATTATTATCATCATCATCATTATTATTATCATTATTATTATTATTATTAATATTATTATTATCATTATTATTATTATCATTATCATTATCATTATTATTATTATTATTATTATTATTATTATTAATATTATTATTAGGCACTTAAAAGACCCTATTGTGTTGCAAGTGCCGTAAAACACCAACGAAAACAATATTACGATCATTTAATAATAATAATAATAATAATAATAATAATAATAATAATAATAATAATAATAACAAAAATATCATCATTGTTACTGTCATTGTCATTGTTTTTGTTATTGTTATTGTTGTAGTCATTATCATTACCATTATCATTATCGTTATCATTACACTGGTCAACGCATATTTTGCAGCAAGAGGTTTAAGACTTCTTCTTAGCAAATTTTGGGTCGTTGATTTCAGAAATGGCTTGAGTTTTTACCTATCATGTCATGTTTTCGATCAATGAAAATAAGAAAATTTGTAGTTTTTTGCATATATGACAAAATTCAGGATTTTTAAAAAAGCATGGCCTATAGTTTGATTTGAAGCTTCGTTTTAATGAATTAGAGTAACTTGTTGAACCTTTAAATACACGTACGTGACTTTTCATCCAAAATAAGTAAGGAATTAATAAAAGTTGAATTATGCCAATATTTCTTTGCTATAGACCTAATAAAACACAATAATATCCCTGTACGTACCGTACATAATTGGAGCTTTACCACTATCCATTTTGACCTTCAGTATCTTTTTACTACAGAATGCCAAACAATCTGGCAAAAGTATAGGTTTTTTTAAATTTTTTAGAGATTTTGTAAAAGTAGTGTGCCCTGAGATGAAATTCACCCTTTAAAAGACAAATCGGCTTCAAATCCCAGTTGTTTTAGTCATCCAGAATGGAATGATTTGACATGGTTGGTCAAAATTAAAGGTTTCAAAACCGACAGAAAAAAATCAGTTTAAAATGATGTAAATATAGTTTTGTCATAATGGAGAAAAGGTACTATTACAGTACTTTTCTACGTACAAAGTCTTTGTCTTCCATCAAGACGTACCAGGCTCGTTATGTGCATTGGGTGTACCTGCCAATGTTTGAATAAGTGGATAAGTTTTTTAGACAGTTCAAAAACAAGTCTGAAGTGCGTGCTATACCATAACGGAAATTCATTTGGGCCGTGCCTATTGATTGTTCTATTCTATTCAAAAAGCATACAGGCACATAAAAAAAAAACAATGCTGGATTGACTTGAATACATGGACCACTGCTGAAAGACTTGTATTGATCTGAAATTGGTCAACTTCTCACTTAGCCAACAAGGTGACTCTTCAAATAATCCATGATCTCTTTGTCTGTTGGACAGTCGAGGAAATACACTGGGTTGAA